GGCGAATGCGTAATTCTGAGTATTTGCTCTACCTCTACGGAGCTGTGTGTAGTCGTAGGAGTTTACTGTACATTATCGCTTTGCCTTCACAAATACGAAGGAAAAACAAGCAACAGCTAGAAGCAGATATTCCAGAAGGGGATATTCTAGAAGGGGGAATTCTAGAAGGGGAAATTCCCGAAGGGGGAATTCCAAAAGGGGAAATAGAGCGGCGAGATAGAGCGGCGAGTAAGCACGTACGCGGTACGGGCCGGATGATCCCTTCCTATCAGGTCTGTGCTGAAGGCGCGCCGCCAGGTCCTGCAGGGCCGAGTTAAGTATATTCGTATCTGTATCAAGATGAGGGTAACTAATTAACTAATCAGTATCATTTACCTAATCCAGTAGGGAGATGGTAGGTTTGATGCTCCGTTTGTTATCAGGAGCCGGCTTTGAGCCCTTGCGGTCCTTTCCGGGCAGACTATGCGGCGTAGATCCATGAACCTGTCCTCCAAATCTGTTGTATCGCCATGCTGGTCGTGGCAGCAGTTCGAGCCACTCCTTCAAGCGCTGTTGCTGAGGTCTGAGATCGGAATAACTCTGATTCCTTGATGAGTCGTTCGTCAACGGGAACAGCTCATGCTGGCGGTTCACCTCGACTTCGAGGCTCATACGCTTGAGAGGACGATTTATGATTCTTTTATTTACCGTCGTTCCATTTACTAGCTCTGACAGTGTGGTTTACTGTTTCATCCAGAGTCACATCCCTTTGCTGTTTCAACATTGTAGATTCTGTTTCGGCTGGCCCTGTCAACATCATATATACAGGTGAATTTATCTTAGGGATTAGACACCCCATCTGTCCTCGGTTCAACAGATGATGTTTTATGCTACAGCACGATTATTCATTCCGGTATTCAGAGGGTTTAGCTGAGTTCCATTTCTGTGAACGATTTACAGCTAGAGAAAGAAAAGAGGCGGTAATTCTTTAGAAACCTATGTGCAGGTGGGAGATGCTATAGCATAGGCTTCTGAAGTGGTAACGTATTCAGGCTTCGACAATACCTTCGGTTACGGGGGGGCCGGAGCAGTAACAAATTCTTAAACTTCAGCGCTTCCGAACCTGAGCAGTTTGGGATTTCAACCCAGAAGAAATACCAGTAACAGTCTCCTCGTCTGCTCTAGATACCTCCCCGTTTTCGACAAATCCATTACTATAGCCGTTCCCCGCAGCCTTGGCCTTAGTAGCTCTCGTAGCTGCTGTGACATCCTCGAGTAGATATTGGAGGTCCGCATTGGTCGGATTGGGTCCAGCAGAGAGGTCTGCTTCTCTATCCCAGCGCTCCTTCGCGGCCCAAAAATTCTCAACTGATCGCCGAGTCCAGAACGAACTTTTCATTTTTGTTACAGCAAACTCCCAATCCGTCGTATATTCTTTGAAGAATGGCTTGTAACCTAGGAGACCCCCAAGCCACCGGCCAATAATCACACTGGTCCAGTAGCCAAAGAACAGCCGGAAGGGCATCCATGCCGGCGCTGGAGTATAATGCCCACCTGCATCGAGCATCTGTGATCAATTAGTGCCTGTGTTATATATTACGAGTAGAAGAAAACGCACTTGTAATTTTTGAATGAAATCAAGACCCCCATCGTAGAGCAGTGCGTCGTGCCAGTATCCGTACCAATTCTCGAAGAAGACTCTATCAAGCTGATTATCAATCCCCGCATCTGAACCGCTCAGGAGCACTGTCATATATTCGCCCGAATCCGGATGGATATGGAAACGATGGATACGGTTCGCTGGGAGAGAGACCTCCCCGTCTTCTGGAGTAAGGTTGCGCGACACGCCATCAACCTCAGCCACACAGATGCCATGCTCGACGTGAAAGAACTCGCTCTGGTACCGATGGAAGTGCATTGCAGGGCCGTCAGGTCGCTGGGGACTATCGATGAGCTTCCGCAGCTCGGGCGAGACAGGTCCTTCCACGTCCAGTCTGTAGGTCTGACGCATCATAAAACTTCGACCCGGGGGCGGCTCCAGGAACTCAACGGTAAGGAGACCACCAAATCTGCAATGTTGTTATTAGTATCAAAGTGTGATATAGGTACTTCCTAGCTTCCTTGTTTTGTGTTTGGGGGGGAGAGGAAGGTTAGGATTCATAATAGCGGCGCAATCCACGTTACACTCACTTTCGAATAGTACTCGAGCCAGCAGACGTGTGGTAGGGCACAAAGGGGGTAAAGAGACCCATCTTGTCAATTGAATATGTGAAGTTGTAGGATTTCGAAAACAACAACTACGTGACAGATGAGAGATCACGGCTGAGGATTTGTAGAGTGGCAACGAAATAGAAAACCGTCTGCTGGACTGCCGCATGTACGTCGCCCACTCACTGTCATTATTTATTATCGCATTGTATTTTGCCTACCACTACAGGGGAGTAAAAACATCGCATAGTAGTACATGCCATCAGTCTGTTCCTATTGGTCCCGTTCCTTACGTGGTATGTGGGGCCATCCTTATCCACCCACCTGCTTGACACTATTCGATGCCTATTGTGGATGTCTCTCGGTATACTTAGTTGGGCTTTCTCTCCAGGTCTCCCGAACTTCTTTGAGACCCAAATCTCCACCTCTCGGCCGTGGGTGATCCGTAGACGGCGGATATCCCGAGAAGCAATACCGGTAGAACGTCTACCACGCTAACATCCATGGCGATGTGCTGACAATGATTAAGGCCAGAAGTCCAGTCCTCTGCAGCGTTATTGACGCCAGAAATCTGCTGTTGGTGCATATATCGTCCGCGACTACATTTTTAAAAAGTCCAGAAAGTGGGAAAAATGGTACATATTCTTACCCTAGTTATTGTCCAAGCCGTTGACTCCGGTGCTCTCAAGGCAGTTAAAAAAACCGGGTTACATATCATCATTGTCGGCGCAGGTCTCGCTGGTATTTCTGCTGCAATATCGTGCGCATTAGCCGGCCATTCTGTCACCGTCTTAGAGGCAGCAAAGGAACTTGCAGAAGTATTTTCTTCGTCACCCACTTAGGATCAAATAATGACATCGCCTTGCTTAGGTTGGCGCAGGCCTTCAAGTAACCCCTAATGGCTCGCGCCTTCTCAAAATCTGGGATCTTCCTCAGACCATGTGGGACCAGGCAGCTGAGCCAACACACTTGACTGTACATCGATATTCTGGGGCAGTGCTGGCCCGTGAGGTTGACTTTGATAAGAACATCCGAAGGAAATACGGCGTGCCTTTCGTTGATCTACATCGAGTGGACTTGCAACAAGCTTTGTACCAACGGGCTCAGCAATTGGGAGTGAAATTCCATCTGAACGAACGCGTACAGAATGTTGATCCCGCAGTGCCATCGCTAACTACTATTTCGGGCCACCAGTACCACGCTGACCTAATAGTTGGAGCTGATGGTTTGTGGTCACGCACTCGAGAATGCTTCCTAGGGACTGCTGATCCGCCCAAGCCGACAGGAGACTTGGCATATCGAATTGTCCTGTCTTTGGATCAAATCAAAGAGCCAGCTTTACGAGACTGGGTTAGCCATCCAGAAGTCCATTTTTGGATTGGTCCTAGATCCCACGCTGTTGGATACTCCTTAAGGGCGGGCAAAATGTATAATCTTGTGTTGCTTGTACCCGATGATCTACCTCCAGGGATCAAGAAGCAACCTGGAAATGTCGAGGAAATGAAACTGCTATTCGAAGGCTGGGATCCCGTGTATGCAGAGTTTGACCGGCCTTTTTGCATTTCAAAATTAATGACTAACTTATTTCAAGTCTCACTCAACTTCTAGGCTACGTTAACAGCGTGGACAAGTGGAAACTTATGCATAGTAAGAGAGTCAAGAATTCACTGCTATTCACTAAACTGACAGTGTTGTATTACAGGAGAGGAGCTACCCTCTTGGATCAACGATGCCAATAATTTTGTCTTAATGTAAGTCTATTGATATTATTTTTCCAAAACCCAGTATCTCGAGCCACTAAGTAACATCTGACAGAGGCGATTCCTGCCATCCCATGCTTCCCTATCTTGCACAGGGCGCTAATTCGTCCATGGAGGATGGAGCGGCCCTAGGGACGATCTTAAAGTCTGTCACAAAGAAGGAGCAACTCCCGAATGCTTTGCACATGTTTGAAAAGCTTCGAAAATTAAGGAGTGAGGCTATAGCTAGGGAAACATTTAAGCAGGTATGCACTATCTACATTGTGGAGCTCCAACTCCATATCCTATAGCTCTCAGGACACAGACTGACGTCGGAGGCTATTGACTGTAGAGGAATGATTTTCACATGCAGGATGGCCCTGAGCAAGAAGCTCGAGACGAAATATTCACATCACAGCTCGGCAAAGAAATCACTGGCGCTTTCCCCAGCCGATGGTTTGTGTCACCCTTAGTAGCCCAACAGGCATTCATTTCTAATTACAAACAGGACGTGCCCCGTTGTCCAACCATGGATATATGGCTATGATGCGATAGCCGAAGCCGAAAAAGTGCTCAAAGGCAAAGGATTCCCCAACATTGAAGAAGAATCCCTGCCCCCAGTCGAAGTTCCTGGCCCAAGATGAAGTGGTTAAGTGGAGTTCCGGAATAGGCAGTTGAATCAATCCGCAAGAATATTTTTGTTTAGAAACATGCAAGGGAAGCGCGATTAAACCTGATGTTATCCTAACTACATGTAGCTTCTAAGGTGAATAAGAAATCAACTTCGCATTCTCCTTTAATTGAGATGGAGTTAATAAGTTACCGTGGTCGAGCTATTTGATAGGATCAGTGAGGGTATATCTCGTCCGCCATGAATCGGTCATCTACTTAAAGAGCGCCATCCCTTAAACTAATTTGTATTGTGAAAAAATTTTTACGAAAAGAAAATCTTTCCCCAAGGCTTTCAACTTTGGGTTGAAATTTCAGAAATTGAGATTTGTTGTCACATCCCTGATGAAGGTATGTCCTTCGGAATGACACAATACAGCGATGTCGATAGATCCAGCTGCGTAGCTATTTCCTCTTGTCCTCCCTGAAAATTCCCACAAAGGCATCGCCGTAGCCCTTGCCCATCCCTAGCTCCTCTTCCACACCATGAATGCTTGTCAAATTGATTTTCAAATTCAACTCCTTCTTCTCCCCCACCACGAACCCAGGGTCTGCCTTCCAGCCCAGCGCAATTCTCAAAATGTTCCTGATCCGTCCTTCGTTCAGTTCACAACGTTCATCCCTCGCCCCTTCTTTGCCTCCACGCCAGGCGACGTACCCGTCCGGACGGACTAAAACATAATCGTAATTTTCCCACACGTTCTTAACGTGCTTCTCTCCGGCATCCAGTTGGACGTGCGTCAGCGGCATCTTCATTGCCTTGGCTACAGCTTTGAATGTCGCCACCGGGGATGACGCTTCATCATCCGACCTGTCGAAGCCATTGGTCGTTTGATAGTCGCTTTCGATCTTTGAGAAGTCCATCAATGACCACTCTGTTCCATAGAGATCCACGATACTTGTCTGATCGTCCCTCAAGAATACATGTGGCGCCCTATGCCCGGGCCTTGTACTTGGCGTATAGCGCATGTTATCGAATCTCGGTTCCCTCGTCCCGTCGCTCACGATAATTTCACTATTCAAATATCTCAGGTCCAGTTCCACTCCACGGTCGATATTTTCAGGTCCCACGCTGTCCAGGTGCCTTGCTATCTCGACTCGTGCGTTCTCTCCTTCCTCGCTCTCCTCGAGGAAAATGTCTGTGTTCGGCGCCGTCATAGTACGCATGATCATCGGAGTGAATTTGCCGATGTGAGCAGCACAACGTTCGAGACGCAGCATCATGTTCGGTCTGCGCTCATGCGTATATGAAGTAACGAGGTTGCTACCACCGATGCCTTTGTATAAAGCTGAAAGACGCCATGCGAGCGAGATAGCGTCTTCTACGCCGCTGTTCATGCCATAGCCACCATGTGGAGGGTTCTGATGAGCAGCGTCGCCGCAGAGGAACACACGGCCGTGTCCATCACGACTGACGTAGGAATCTGCAAGAGCAAAGTTCGGACGCCATGCATTCGCCAGCATGATTTCGTCGATTTGAAATTTGTAAGGCTTGCCGAGACTTCCAAGGACACGATAAGGGATTTCTTCAGGATGTTCTTGGAGCTCCCTGATGGCGGCGGCATCAGCAGAGCAAGGTTCGTGACAGGTATAGGTGTCGACGTCGTCTTGGTCAATCATAAAGCCGCCGTGGATGCCAAAGGCGTGCCACCACTTGCCGAATGGGGAGAGTTGGGTGAGTTCTTTGGACCGGAAGTGGACCATGAAAAATGCACCTGGCCTTTGGTAGAGAGAAAATCACCGGCATGTTAGCCGGTGACATTTGACCCGGGGGGGAGGGACGGAACACTCACAGTGGTCTCCCCTGGAGTCCAATCCCGACGCTTTTCCTTACTTTACTCCGGGCACCATCTGCGCCAACCAAGTAAGACGCTCTAATCTTCTTTTCCTGATTGTCCATATCTGTGAAAGTAGCAGTGACCCCCTCATCATCTTCCTCAAGCGATATAAATTTGTAACCAAAGTGACTTGCAATCAGGGGTTCGGCGAGGCATTTTTTCTTTAAGAATGCTTCAAGCACTATCTGCGAGCAACGTTGACCCGGCTCCGCAGGCTGTGAGCCATCGTTATTTGCGTGAATCCTGGCGCGATATTCGTTGTTGCTTGGGATGGGCTAGCAGAAGATGTTAGTGTAACCACGTGTGGAAGCTAAAACTTCTTTTCACCAAGTCTGGAATCACTTAAACATGACTACTTCTCAAAGGGTTATCCTTCTAATGTGACAGACATACCCATCGAGCAACAAGCTTCTTCTTCTGCCCGCAAGTGTTGAAAAAAATAGTATCCCAATCGCTATGCTGTGGTACAGCGCCGGGTTGTTGTCGATATTCCTCAGCAAACCCCATTATACGCAAAATCTCCATAGTATGGCAGCTGTTGTTGTCCATCTTGGGCCAGCGCGTCGTCTCCGTACTCATTTCGCATAACGTGCATGGTACTCCCAGCTGTGCCAGCCTGAGAGCTGTCAACATTCCAACCGGGCCCCCTCCTACTATGAGAGGGCCTGGGAAATAAACTGTGTCTTCTGCCTGGATGGAGCCCATTGTGGAGTGATTGGGAGTCGGACGAAGGACGTAGTATACAGAATTATTTACAGCTTGATAACTCTAAGAGTTCACGCCTAATATCTCTATAGCCTGGGAGTTCAAACCGACATTTCAAAACTAAGATTGAATGGACATAGCTGATGCCTGTGGCCTTCTTCCTCTAGAAGGAGAAGATGGAATCTAACTCCTGCTGGAAACGTATCCCAAAAGGGTACAGATTCTGGCCAGCTCCGATTGGACGTCTAGGAATTAGCCTTATCAAACGAATCCGTGTTTTGAGCGCCTATCTTTGTAAAATTTACGTGGGGCCGGTTAATCACTACGGCTAGGCTCCTTCGGGTAGGACTTTCCATATGGACAAGAAGTTCCGGCCACTAAATAGCTATATGTGTGGGACCCAAGCAATTTAACAACTTAATACCAACTTCTTGATCAAGGGATTATCCATACATGGAAGGCATATTGGAAATGGCAGTGGATTCCCTACATGATGACCCAATTTGGTCATGGATTAGATCCAGTATCCACTGTAACAATTCTCCAAGCTATTCAATGGGCGATTCCAAGGCTCTCCATATTGAGGCTACTGCAGAGACTCAAGAGAATGAGGATATCAAGGATTGAACAAGGCAATCAGCAATGCAGCTTTCTCATCATATCAAGGAGCCTGCTGAAGGAGGCAGTAGAAGATAATATCAAGATCATGATGCAGTGATTCTTAGCCAGTATACGGCAGATCAACACGAGGAAGACGATGATGATACTGGCTGGGAGCCCCTCCCATAAATCCCAACAGCGGAAGCATTAGAAAGCCTATATAAGCTACACTTCTATGACGAGCAGCAGATTGATGCAGATCAGGGACTTATGCAGTATCTCATGCGGTTTGGAAGGGTGATTATAAGGAGAAAGGCTGAAAACCAACGCCTAAAAGGGATGCAACTCCGGCCCGTCGCTCTCGATCGCCGTTGTGATTGCCGTATTCTGTAAAGAGAATGACTAGTGTGTGTACTAAGCTAGTGAGTTCTGGCGGCACACTGAGTGAGACATTAATTACAGAGTAACTGGCCGCCACCATACTGCCCCGGGACGCGCCGAGCGGAACGCGCGGACCGCCATCCACCCACCATAGCTATGGTGCTATTAGTAATTTAGTATTCTGCTTATAAACGGCGAGCTGGACTTCGGTGTTAACCGCCGCCTAGTCACTGTAGACCGTGAAGCACAGTCAGCAGAATGTCTGACTCCACCATGCCGTCGTCCATCAGTTCGCAGCAAGATGAAGAGAAGGCCATACAACCCCCCGTCGTCTCTGAGAGCCCTGCTCTGGACTCAGCTCTCCCACCAGAGGGCGGCCTTCGAGGCTGGCTATGTTGCGCTGGCGGTTCCCTAGGTCTGTTCGCTACGTTGGGCTTCTTGAACGCGTTGAGTCCTTCCTTCCGCAAAAAAAAGTTTTATGACCCGGTCCTTTTGCTGACCTGGACAGCATTGGTATCTTCCAAACCACCTATCAAGAGACTCTCTTGAAGGACTACAGCTCTTCCGACATCTCATGGATCTTTACAATCCAGCTCGCTCTCATATGGGCTCCAGGTTCCCTTTTCGGCCGCATTGTAGATACCTACGGACCGCGCCCGGTCATGCTCCCATGTACCTTTCTTTGCCTCTTCTCACTGTGTATGACGAGTCTGGCCACCGAATACTATCAGATTATCTTGGCACAGGGAATTGGTTATGGACTCGGAGCTGGAGGTATCTTCACCACCTGCTTGGTCTGCGTGAGCCAGTGGTTCGTCAAGCAACGAGGCCTTGCTCTGGGAATTACTGTTGCGGGTAGTAGTATTGGTGAGGAGCAGACTATTTATCAGTGTCTACGACGTGCTGACTTGATGTGTGACCAGGTGGCGTCATATTCCCATTCTTTCTGCGACTGGTTATGGAAGACGTAGGATTCAATGGCATGGTACGCTACACAGCGCTGTTCCTAGGTATCGCTTTAGTTGGCGCCTTCTTTCTTCTCAGTGCGCGCCTGCCTCCTAAGAAATGGGACTCAGAAATGGCATGGATTGACTTCAAAGTGTTCAAAAACCGAGGCTTTGCGTTCTATTGCATCGGCTCATATTTTGTGATGTGGGGATTATGGGCACCTTTCGATTATCTTCCTAGCATGGCCCAATTGTCGGGAATGTCGGATTCGCTGGCCCTTTACCTGCTCGCTATCGTGAAGTGAGTTTTGCTCAATCTTGTAGTCCCTAGCAGAGCTGACCTGAGGGACAGTGGTGCTTCACTTTTCGGACGAATTATCCCCGGGCACATCGGGGACAAGGTGGGATACTTTAACATCATAGTCGCGTCCGCCTTCCTAAGCTGCATTGCGATCCTCTGTTTATGGCTGCCTTTCGATTACCATTCTTCGAATGCCGGCCTCATCGTTTTTGCTGTGGCTTACGGCTTTTTCAGCGGCGCCTTTGTTAGCATCATGATGCCATGTTGCGCAAAGTCCGGCAGCCTAGAGACTCTCGGGAGACAGATAGGTACTTATCAGGGTGTTATAGCTATCTCGTATGTCTTCGTTGGCCCCATTGGAATTATTTTCTATTTTTTTACTGTACTGATGTCTCGCAGCACTCTTACTGGCCTGCCGATCATGGGAGCTATCTTGGGAAGGCAACATAATACAACCTATATGGGCATGCAAGTATTTGCCATTGTGACCATGTTTATCGGTTCTGTGTTCCTCTTGGTTTCTCGTAATGTCCTCGCGGCCGCTCACGGAACCTGGAAATACTGAAACTTGTGACGATCCGCTGCGTCGTCGAATTTATGCACGAAACAGGCCCTGCTCGGGCAATTCCGGCATGTTGAGCCGGACGATGTCCCCGACCCGGTCCAGGAATTGCATAGGCCTAGAGGCCATAGAATAGGTGTGGAAGGCGATGGCTAAAAAGGAATTGCCTAGACCCGGAAAGAGGAGCCTGGGCAATACAGCAAAAAAAAGCTTCGCGGCCAGGCATCACAGCCCAATTAAGAACCGAGCAAGAAATGATCAAGGGAAGGGCAGTGGGAGATGCAAAATAAGGTTCTTATTTCACTTTTCGGTGATCTAACTAGAGCGATGGCAAGCGCAGTTTTATGTTTTCTGTATTTACTACCGCGTTCTGGACGGCTCATATTCCGGCTTCGGGCGAACGAAGCGCCTCCATAGCTAGACATTGTCACATTTGGGCTCCAACGGGTTAATAGAAATGTTGACTGATTGATCGACTGAATGCTGAAATTGTACAATAGTTAAGACTTTTCAACATACATTTTAGGAAAAGTGCTTTTGTCTCCCCTCGCATGATGGATATGGTAGCAAGAGGAAGTTGACCGGCAAGAAGAAGGGAACGGTCGAATCATCTGTACTTCTTTTACGTTGCTTGACTCCCCAGTAGAGTATTCTCCTCGAAGGTAAGGATGGTCGGTGATATCAATCGATAGGCTTGGCCTTGAGAAGTTGAGTCTGGAGATACTTTCGGGGATCAATTACCTACCATTCCCTGTCAAGAGGTAGTGTAATAGAATCGCACATTCGGACCGGTCGCTGGGGAATGTGCTAGATAATCGAATAAACCATGCATGTGACACAGATACTGAAAGGTTCCATTATACCCAATCCCCTGGTCATCCGCCCAGACCACTGAAGGAAAGCGGCACTATTAGTGGCCCGCTTCGGCTTATCTCAAAGAGAGAGATTGAGGCGAGTGAGCCTATCATCACTAGATGGAGCTTCTATATTAAAAAATGGGGTTGATGAGTGCAAAGGGAATGAAGTTTTGTGCCCTTATGAACTCTGGTAATCATAAAGTATTCTAGGACTCGAAGCCCTATACAGAGCACTAAGTTGAGTTTACGCCATGATTGGATGCTGCTGAGCGAGTATTGGTGGCCATGTCATCGTGCAGACAGCCGATTCCGATATCGGCAGCTCGGACTCGGACCCCTGACAAGACAGAACCTCGACCTAGGCGATGGATGCCGGTTATTGTTTGTGCTACATTTCTGATGAAGAGATCCCTTTCACTGCCATTGACTAAAATATCGATCGAAGCCACCTCAGTGTTCCTGGCTCTCGTTCTCTTCATGTTCCTCAATTTCCAACGACTCACTCATTCCAGTCTTCTTCAGCAGTTGGAGTTGACTACGGCTGTAGTTAGGATGGTTGTCTTGTAATTTCATATCGCAGTAATAGCTATCACAATGTCTTCCCGTCACTCTGGGTCCTTGACGATCTTGAATTGGTTGTGGCGGCGGTGCCTGCGTACGGGTTTTACAGCGTCGACCCATACAGTGATATTCGAGATCACACAGTTTCTCAATGCCTATCCCAAATCAGGCCTGCACCTAGGAATGTACTGTTGACGAGTTATGATGAAATGCTAATTGACAATCTACTACAGAATATATATCGGGTAGATTGTAATAAAACATATCAATTTCACCGTCCTGCGCTCCTTACATGGAGCTCAATTCCTACTTGAAGTGCACTGTGGCTTTCATGGCGAGCACTATTTGACCACTGCTTGCCGCCAAAGGATATGGCATTGATAGCTTTTGTATAACCACTTTTGACATCTTTGGATATCTAGAGCAAATGATGGCCAGAGAAAGCCTGGCAGTCACCATATGTTGGAAGGTGCGTACAAAGGAATATTACTCGGTTTCGTTTGCCTCCAAGAACTCCAGCAGTCTGCGCGCGACAGCAGATGGTTGCTCTTCGGGGAGAAAGTGCCCGCAATCATGAATAGCGCCCCCGGAAACATTGGTCGCGAAGTTTCGGACCAAATCAATCATACCCGAACCGACGGAGCTGGCCCCCCCTAAAGCTAAGACAGGGATATCGAGTGGTGTCTTTGCATATTCCAGATTCTGTTCCGCACTAGTTCCAAAAGCTCGATAATACTCGAATCCCCGGCTCATCGCTCCTGGTCTAGAATAGGCTTGGATATAGCGTTCAAAATGATCTTTAGATAAACCATCTGCATGAACCGTCTTCAGCTTAAAGAACCAGGTCAGAAGCTCCCGCTCACGACCGCGAGTCAGAATTTCAGGTAATTCAGGAAGCGCGTTGAATGAGAATTGCCAAAGACGCATGTTGGTCGGATGAGCCAACGGAAACTGAAACTGGGGCAGAAAACCCGGCACTGACGCGTCCAGGATACTGAGCGATTTGATTCTCGATTGAAATTGAGCGGCCCAAGGATAGGCAATCCATCCACCAACATCATGACCAACTAGATGGTACGGTCTGTCTTTCAGGGTATCGTGAATGGCTTCGGCCATGACTCTGCTCACGTTCGCAGTATCATAGCCATTGAGGGGAGCAGGCGAATCACCCAAGCCCGGGGGATCGAGCGCCAAAAACTGATAACGTTTTGAAAGGGGTTCGAAGATACCGCTAAACGCCTCTGCTGTTTGTGGCCAGCCTGGAATGAGAATTAAAGGGGGACCTTGACCGCCAACTATGGCTCGGACTCCGTGGAGGAGACGTGTGGCTCGCCATTTTGCTGCCATGGTGTTGACGTCGGCTGGGTCAAGTGTACGGATGAAGACTTCGAAGGGCGGGCAATTGTAGGCACAGTAGTTTCTCGCGTGTTCGGGTACTTCGGCGGCTTTATATTATTTTGTAATGAGTCATGGAGCAAATGATGAATCAAGGTAAGGGGTTATTTCAGATGATATGCGTACCCACATGGACCGCGGTGATTCAAATCTATGATTCTTATTTTTTTGTATTAACGAATAAGATAATGATTCATATCAAATAATTTTGATTCTTATTCATATCTCTTCAATTAAATAAAGGGATTTACTTTGGTATTGATATTCTCTTTATTTAATGATCTTGGATTTTTCAAAAATAAATATAATTCACTTGTAGGAAAAAGAAAGAATATAAAATAAGGACTTCCACATATTGTGCTGTGGCCGCTGTTTTCCTGACCGATTGGTTTCCGTGGTTCCTGAAAGATCCTCCCGCAAGCGGGTCCGTAATAAATGCCTGTTGGTACAATATGAATACATCCAAAATAGGAGCTCTAGATCTACAATGCCCTAGTATATAAAGGACATAGATCCTTCAGGACTACAGAGATACTAGTCATTTCCTAATATCCTTCACGAGAGATACGTATAACACTGTAGTACATACATACCGTCTGGCATTCAGCATTCAGCGCGTGAATGCCTATTGCATGATATTGACTGTTGTATTTTGCCCACCCTCCTTGAAATCACGATCGGTTACTAGAGTTGGAGCTGGGTAATGGGAGCTCTATCTCTGCTGTTCCTACCCTACTTCCTAGAAGTAGTCTTGTCTGATTGTCCCTATTGGGCCTGGTACAACGCTGGAGGCTACCACATCCCGGATCCTACCAACCCGGACTCAATGGTCTGAAATGCTCTAGGCCTCTAGGCTTTGATTGGTCAATTGAGTTGTGGGTAAATCACGTGATTGCATGTTGCCTTATGTAAGTGAATGTGGTTGTACCAAACACGTGAGCAGGCGCCTGGACCAATGGAGTGCCCACTATTCAATTATCAGTCGAGTCTTCTCAGACACAATGTTCAGATATAATCGATTTTCTTAAAAATATATTCATCGTTGAATATAAATTGCACTTGTTACTCTGTTAGTTCATATGACCAAGGATGCTCAGCCCTCCCACCATCTTTGCATAGCCACAGTCTTTCCTTCACTCGTAAAATGCTCGTATAAATGCGGCTGCGGCCCGCCTGACCTGTACCCTTCAGGTTGACACTTTATCACGCAGATTGAGATCAGTTCAGTTTGGCCACCATTAGCGGTCCGGCTATCACTTAGATTCTCCGACGCAGTTCATATACTGGCCTCGAAACATGGAAGCCCCGACAGTACAGTCTAGAACCAAAGGGTCTATCTTTGGCGTGGCAGTTGTTGATGCCCTCGGCGGGCCGGTAGAGTTTCAACCACGGGGCAGTTTCCCGCCAGTTACGCAGTTCATGCACAATGATACCTTCAATGTTCCACCTGGGTGAGAATTCATCACATGTCCTTACCATTCACACTCGAGCTAATCAAGACTCAACACAGCACATGGACTGACGACACATCCATGACCTTATGTCTTGCTCAGTCGCTCATCGCCTCAAAAGGATATTTCAATCCTCAGGCTGCAATTCGTAACTATATCAAGTGGTACGAGAATGGCTACTTATCAGCTACTGATGAATGCTTTGATATTGGGGGTGGAACCAGACGAGCATTGATGATCTGGAAACACTACTTTGACAGGTCAGGTCATATTCGCGGAGATGACCCGAACGGTCACGAGGGCGGACAGCCTGAAATCGACAAAGCCTTGAAGCGCGAAGTAAGTGAATGGTCTCCAAGAGACAGAAGATACAATACTGATGGTGGTAGATGTTTTGTGGAAACGGCTCCCTTATGCGCGTTGCACCCATTGGGCTTGTGTATTTCCGGGACATGGACATGGCATTGTCCAACGCTGCTCTTTCCTCAAATGCCACTCATCCTTACCCAACATGTGTCGAGTGCTGCCAGATCTATACCAGACTCATCGTGCGCATTATGAATAGCGCTAGCAAGGAAGATCTTGCCAAAGAGGTCGCTAGCACAGGTTTTGTAGATGTTAAAGTGAAGCAACGTCTTGATCGTTATTCAGGTCTCGCCGATTGGGAGAACACGGATGAAGACGACATCAAGTCCTCTGGATACGTTCTTTCCACGCTCGAGGCTGCTCTCTGGGCTTTCTTTACCACAAGCACCTTCACAAGCGGAGCTTTCAAGGTCGTCAACCTGGGCTATGATGCAGATACTGTGGGGGCGGTATATGGAGGGCTAGCAGGAGCATATTATGGGTTTGAAGAGATACCAGCTGAGTGGATTGCGGGCCTGCAAAAGAAAGATGTTGTTGAAGAAATCGCATCCGGTCTCTGTTCTCTTAGCCAAAGAGGTCGTGATGATAAATAGGATAGAGTCTAGAGATGAGTGCTAGTTATTAAGATGGAAGAAGCGCAGGATTTATCTCTGACAAGGAGCTGAGATCTATTCTCTTGAAGTATACTGACTTAGGGTTTGTTTTTGGAGAAGTCAATCTTGTAGGGGCTTCTTCGCATTCTGGTTGTTGAATATATATCTCCGCTCCAAATCTATCAGCGGACAAGACTCGTCGCATCACATTCGCGCACATTCGACTATAGAGCAAAAAAAACTACTCCGTTAAATTCGGTCAACTGATAGATAATGTTTCATTCCGAGCTCAAAAGCCGCGAGAAACTTTGATTGATAATTACCAGTATGTAACTATTCTCTCCATGATTATGACGACAATGGTCAATTCTCATTGGCCCATACCCGCAGTGGATCTCACCGCTTATAAAAAGGAAGAGTCGGAAGCCGAAGCCGAACCTGCATTGTTACATCAGTCTCTGACATGGTCCGAATTGTCTTAACAGAAACCTGCCCGGCATGCCGGCATCCCGTAACGACCGATCAAAGGAAAAGAAAAGAAGTGCAAGAGCGTGCGCCAGCCTTCATATATGCCAGTTTCCTATTTTAGCGTTGATGACTGACTCAATGAAGTTGTGAGCGATGTCGCTCGATGAAGCTCAAGTGCTCCGGGACGCAGCCTTGTACGAGATGCGATAGCCAGAAAAAGATCTGTAACTTTCCTCCTGAAGAACGGATGATATCTGTCCCAGAAAGGTGACTTTGAACCGCTGACTGATGGCATCTCAGAGGGCCGGAGGCTGATCATTCGTTCTTCCTAGCTACCTTCGCCAACTGGAAGAGGGCTGCAGTATTGATCATCATTCCAGGCTACCGGCTCCAATACGGGAATCAAGTGTGCAGGAACATATTTTGGAGCCTCATCTTGAGTCTGCATTGAAGCCGACTGCTTCGGCCACAGGTGACGTAATTGACCAGAGCAGACCAACTGGCAGCTCGCGACAACACACTGTGGACAATGATACGACTCAGCTTGCACTGGATGATGACAATGGGTCTATCTTTCGGGACAACCCACTAGCGGACAATGACTATACGTTTGCAAAAGCTCCTGATGGAAGATACTGTAAGTTTGCGCTTCAAGCGATCAGCACACGTCATTCTGCTCATGCAAGTCGCAGTTTATATGGGTCCCTCCTCATCATGGTCGTTTTGCCGTCGAGTATTGGCCTTGATCGGAAAACATGTCCCAGAATCCAACTATCTGCCTGATCCATGGCATCTGGACGGGGTTGCATTTAAATTGCATTGGACGTCCCTGAGGAGTGACGAGGTGCCGGACACAACGAACTTGCCCCCGCTGGACTACGCACTGTTTCTTTTCAACACGGTCAAGTTCTATTTTGGACATCTATTCTACATCATCGATGAGCCCGGCTATCTCAACCACTTGCAGGAGCTGTACAGGGATCCCGCGACCAAGGCAACATCATCAAGGCTTTGGTACGCCCAATACCTACTGATACTGGCCTTTGGCAAAGCATTTGTCGTACAGAGTAGCTCGCAAGAGGGACCATCTGGATCTCAGTATGCTTCTAGGGCCATGGCCCTACTACCGGATCTGTCTGGAATATACTGCGAGCCCCTCGATTCAATCAGAGCACTCGCCTTAGCTGCACTATATTTCCAGTCGATTGACATGAGAGTGGCGGCTTTTCAGCATGTAAGTACCGTCGAGTGGTCAGTGGTGGAGTGGGTCTTTTATCAAACTAACAGCCGATATAGATTGGACAGGCGTTGCGTGTCTGCATCGTCCAGGGCATACACCGGCATATGCCCGAAGACGTCGTCGGGGCAGAGCATTCTCGCTTTTGCAACCACGTCTTCTGGGTGGTTTACATTATTGATCGGGAATTCTCTGCCCTCATGGGTGGCCCAACGTCTATCAGGGACGAGGACATTACTACGGAACTCCCTTGCCATCATGATCATTCTCTGGAGGCACTCAACATGACGCTCCATATCCGACTGTCTCGCCTCATGGCGAATATCCTGACCAGTTCGTCTCAACGCCTGCTTGTGTTTTGGACTAGCTAACTCCGATGCAGCGGTATATGGAGTGGGGAGAGACTTTGAAGGTTCCCTTATCAAAAACACCCAGTCAATTCTGCGGCAGCTCGCTGAGCTGTCTAAGGACGTGACGGCGCTGTTAAATACGCATTTCCAAGGGTCGATCAATCGAGCATCACGGATGGCGCTCAGGCTAATTCTCACTTATCATCATGTTGAGTAACCCGTATCTGTCTCGAGTAGTATCCTGGTCACTGACGTAACAGTGTGTGGTTTTGACGACGAGGCCTCTGGTAATGTGTGCCCTGCACATGCATATCGAGCGGCCTGATACCCAAAAGTCCCATTCTATTCCCTTAACACCCGCTGTCGCCTCCCTCATTCAGTCATGCGTCGATTCTGCGCAAACGGTGCTGCGTGTCCTCCGTGTCATAGGTGATGAGGATCTCCTAGGTACGTTCTGTTCTTCGTTTGCATGATACCAGACACGCCCAGTAAACTCCCTAACCCCGATATCAGAAGCGTTTCTGCCATTCCAACTCGAAGACGCATTCTCCTCCGCCTTTCTACTCCATTTAATCCGCGTCGTGGCACCTTCTGTTCTGCACGATGACTCCTGGTGTGGAGATATCCAATGTATTCTGGACAAAATGATCTCAAAGGGGAGCTCGGTAGCGCCTCTCCGGAAGCTCGAACTCACCCAGCTGGAGCAGTTGCTGACGCCGTTGACGCCCGCCTATGACCCGCTAATGGTTCCCCTGCAGATGGATGACACGGCAGACAGAGCTGGGGGGCTCGCGATGACGAGTGAAGAGCCTGGCTGGGACTTTTTCGATACGGACATGACTGTGGGGATTTCGCCGACGCAGCTGTTGGATCTGGCTGCTCAACTTGACGTGGATGGCCGGGGTTGATGCAATAGACAGACAATTCTTGAGGGTGGTAGCTATTTAAGAACTCGACAATGGCGTAAGGGATAGTGCTCTCTCGTGATTCGCGATCAAATTCTAATCTTGTCCGGATATCTGTGTTGATTTGTAAGGATCGGATGTGGATCCCGACTTTGAATAACCCGCGGTCGGCTGGACATCCCGACCCAGATATTTCAAGAAGCTCCGAAATTGTCGCTTGGAAAAAACGAGGATTTTTACGAGCCTCATTTTCTCAACATCACTATCATGGCAACATGTGCGAAAGGTATTGGACGATTGTCGTCAAGAAGGTCCGTATATTGTTTTGTTGAATTGAAAAGCCAAGATTCAAAAGTCAATCGTCACATAAGATAACTGACTCAACAACCACAGACAGCCATCGGTCTTGGCTCAAGCGTACCGCAGGAGAGCATTTTATGATGTGAACAATGTCCGAATGGCTTCGTCAGCTGCCGCTGTGGCCGCCACTGGGACTGAAAAGAAAGATACCGCCACAACGAATGCAGAAGCCAATTACCAAATTGTGGCGGAAGTGGGCGATTTCGACACTACCCAAGCCAATCGCCCCGATTTCGAGCACTCGAATAAGCCCATCAATGTCACCAAATCTCCCAACCCAGACTGGGCATATGGGCAAGGAGTCCCAGACAGCGGTGCCAGTGCTACTAAAAAGCACCGCGAGATCGACCCCTACGCGCCGGAGCGCCCAATGATCAACAACTATCATCTACTTGTTTCTGGCATTGCACCACGCCCGATTGGATTCCTGAGCACCGTGTCCGGCGATGGAAAGACCAAGAACCTCGCCCCGTTCAGCTATTTTCAGGTCATTGACCACGATCCGCCGATGTTTATCGTTGGGTTCTCCTCTCGGCCGGGTCGGGTCAAGGATACTTTCCGCAATTTGAAAGAAACAGGCGAGGTAGTCATTAATACAGTCTCGGAGAACATGATCGAGGCAGTCAATGCCACTTCCATCGATGCGCCGTATGGTGTTTCCGAGTGGGAGATATCAGGTCTGCATGAGGCGCCTACGACAACTGTTAAGCCTGCCCGTGTTCAGGAGTCTGTGTTCTCCATAGAAGGGAAAGTGGTTGATATCAAAGAGTTCGAAGACCATATCAAGCCTGGGATGAGCATTGCCTCACTGGTGCTTATCAAGGCGACCCGATTCTGGGTTCGAGAGGATGCTGTTGATTCAGAGTTTAGACACATTGACCTGAATCAATTGCGGCCTTTGGGACAGCTGGGTGGTATCTCTTATGGGCGGGTTACTTCCGTATTTGAACTGCCCAGGAGACGATGGAATGATGAATATCCACAGAGTGAGCTACTGACAAGATTGGAGGAGTCGAAGACAGAGACGAAATAACCAACTTGGGATTCAACCTTTTCGGGGTACATTTGATTTCACTTCCTGTGGTATTGTTCTGACATTGGGCTACGTGTCCAGGTGGGCCAAAAAAAAAATGCGCAGCTCGTATTGATCACCAGACAACGATAGATAGAAAACCTAGAATAGGATACGAGATCAACGTTTAGCTCTGGCCATATAAAGTGAACGCTCTTCCTGTCCAGATCCATTCTCATCCTTTTCCTACCCTGACATTCATACATAATGCTTGAGACGATCCATCCACCCTCAAACATTAGTTTAACGCATTTAGCGCTCTTCTTAGCCGTGGAATACGAAGTGCCATAAGTCAATCCCCTCCTGACCATCTACAATATTTATACTTATTAGCTAGACTGGCCCGGCGACATCTATCGCCTCAGCCTGGCCAACAAAGCGCTGTACAGCTTATTACATGACCCCCTGTACAAACGACTCCTGGAACCCGGTTCTAGTCGTCACAATGGCACCTACCTGATCTGCATTTCGCAGTGCACGAAAACCACATATCCCTCCTACAGCGCCTCGTCAAGTGAGGGGGAAACGTTCCAGAGACTCAACAACGTCGGCCGAAATCCACTCCACTACGCTGTCGTCCGGAAACATAAGGACATCTGTCGCAGTTTCCAGACTCCAGATGGATTGGATTGCAGAAAATTATTTAAAGTTTTGGTAACAACCGTAGCATTCCAGGTTTCGAGGTTGATGTTTCTGTTGATGCTGAAGAAACGGTACTGTTAGCAATAGACATCGAAGCATCCCTCACATTCTACTTAGCTCTCTTATCTATCCAAGAGCCTCGTGGGAATTGACGTCCTCTCTCCTGTGCTATTTATACTTTATCCCCATTGCCACTCTCTTATACGCTCCCAAGGGTGCTTTCCAGATTTCTCTAAGCCTTCTATTTCCCTTCAGTCAGCCATTCCACGCCATTCATATTTTTTAGTTTACACCCTAGAATTTCAGTGTTCCTGGCTTGTGTGTGGCGCAGTATACTTGGGCTTTCGCAGAGGCGTCGGTAAGCAGTTTTGAACGTCGCAAGGCCTGGAACCGATACGAAGTGGCTGACCTCGGTATCACACTTCCGAAATCGTGTCAGTTCAATGCTTATATGGAACAGTACAGATCCAGACGGTGAGACAGGCTATAATTGAGCGTAGCAAGGGTCGGGTATTCCCGAAACTGAAAGGTGATCTGTTACTCCAGTACAGCTCTACAAGCCAGTGTTGAGCAGGTAAGAAATACCTACCCTTTGGGGGAACGTGGATGAGACCTTAAGTTATAGCCTATGCTATTAAAACCTGAATAGTCTGCAAATGATGTCAGGGATACATTAACTTATAAGCCTAATATTTATACCAGGAAATCTCAGATGAATCGTTACTTGCACAGAGTTCTGCTATCCTATTTATTCCAGTATTATTGCGAGGTGTCTAATGAATACAAAACCCAACAGCAGATATGGAGGACAAGGACGCCGATAAGAATGATATGCCGAAGTTAGAAGACCCCGACCCAGGAAGCAGTGCCGGCGTAGTGACGATCCTTTCTATCAGTTAACTATCTTAGATGGACAGAAAATAATTATAAATAGTCGCAACTGTCTTGCTCGGTTCATATCAATACCCTGAGTTTAACCTACGATGACTCTGAACAGCCCTCCAGTGGTCGACAGCAGAACAGCTACTAGCTAGCCAAAGGATACTCACGCTCTTATATGCATTGTTTACCGATATTCTAATGTGAACTCAAAATATCCTGAAGAAAATGACACTATGGACCTTCCAAATGAAATACTCTTGTTTAGTGCTGAGAGTCTCGGCAGTGCCTGCGACATCTTGTTCTTTGCTCAGGTCACTGAGGATATATGGCAAGCTGCTGTCAACCCTCTACCGTATCGACCCACTCTTCGTGCTTCCACAACTGGTCATAAGAGTCGAATATACAAATATATATTTTCCAAACTAACGCCTCTTCAACACTAATTCTAGACCAGCGATATACCATCTCTATACAAGATCAACCCTAGCAACAATACCACCGGTAACATTGCTATTGATGCCAATCGTAGCGTCAAGTACCCCTGCGGAGGAAATATACAGACTGTCTCGATCCAACAGAGTTCGACCAAACGACACAGCAGATGCTGATGCTAGATAGGACGACTCCGCAACAACCCGCGCACTTCTTGCAGGAATGTCCACTTCAACCAAACGATTTTGACCATTCATGGCGATCCACGCAGTTTTTCCATCCGTAGAAACAGCAAAGTCATCGCCGTGGACGCCTTGAACAATAACTTCGACAGGACCGGTGGGGATGCCAGTAGACAAAGAGATAGGGATTCGGCCGAAGATACCCTTATTGTAGTTCGTAAAAAACAGATATGAACCTTGGACATGGATCCCATTCACGGCGACTTGTAAGCCCTCGGACGAAAGCTTGAGGGCCTCGTCATCGATTATTATTTGGAAGGAACCGGTATGAGCGTCTAGTTTGAATATTCTCCCTGCCTGCGAGTCGGAAATCAGGAGTGATGTTGCATCGTGGTCTGATAAGCGACACATGCCGTTCAGTAATTGGGCACTGCTGATATTGGCCACTAGTGAAAGAGGTGGTTCTGGTTTTGCCGTCCTGTTCGATGCGGAAAAAGAACCGTGGCCGCGCATGTCGAGTCTCCAAATAGCGTTTGAGCCTGGGACTCCTTGAACAGAACTCAGATTCGCGCTAATCACATAGAACACGTCCTCCTCCAGTTCTGCAATACCAAGCAACCCAGTTGTCTGAGGGATATCAATAATACCGTTGATTTGATCGTGTCGAAGTGGGTCAACATGGTATAGAGTCGAGGAGGCAGTGGAAGTCAACAATAGTTGGCCATTGTGTCTGGTCGCAATATTTTCAAATGTATGTGGCTGGGCGAACCTGCCGATCACTGTAAGGGGATAGGTGGTGGCGGCATGCAAAGGCAGGGAAGCAGAGAGTTGGAAGAAAGTGAGCAGCCACAAGATGTGCCGCAGTGCTCCACTCTGTGGCATTCTGAACCGTGGGTTCAAATAGCGTTGGCGATTGTAAATGTTATTCAAGCTTGTCTGCAAATGCAGTGAATGTATTCATCAACACCTTTATATGTTGCGTAGTGGTCCGCAAAGGTCTCATTTATCAGCATTTAGTGGCGTAAATGGGTCCCAGTGATGGCAGGATCCACTCCTCATCCTGAGTTCAAGGCACAAGTCGATGATCTGTGGATTTAGCGGACATATGGAGGGTAAATTTGCAAACCAATGTGGCTATACCCGCTATCTCCGAATTTTGTCATAGCAGCTAACGTACGGAGTAGTTCCGAAGCGAACGGCTTAGCTTGGAACTCCACACTAAACTCCATTTTTTGCTACTCTATAAACGATTGGAACGAAGGTTTAGTCGATCACTTCGCTGTCGTCACATTTGAGAGCTAGATTGCAAATCCAGGAATTCCACGAGCCCAAGTTGCTGCTTTCAAACTTTTCCCTTCTCCCGCTTCGTCCAGAAGGTGCTTCCAGTGAGACGCCATGTCTTTCTCGATCGTTCGCGTCTATAACCTTTGTTTCTGACGCATGTCCTCGAGGAGGGTCATGGTGTGGGGTTGTGTTGTCGGCATTTAGCAAAGTTTGGCCTGGGCAAATGATGCTTGACTAGTATGTCCCGCGGGGAAAGTAGAAAATGGAAGGAAAGCTAACGTACCCCGGAAGGACGTCAACGCCATCGCACGTGTACTCCTTATCGGATGTTGTTAGGTTGGACGCGGTTTTCAGATTCACGCTCGGGATTCTGTCCTTGTTGAGGAGGTAAAGGTTGAAAGCGGAAGGGTCGGAGCGGCATGCGTTAGGATAGGACTCTATTTGATCTGCAAGTGCGGACGGGGATTGCAAACCATGGAGATACCAACTCAGAGGACAACCATTCGACCTTTGTCGTTCCAGAGAGATCGAGCTCGGAGCCGCTCGTCGGAGAAACCACAGAGAGGCCTTAGAGCATGGCCTTTAGCTGCTTTCGCAAGTATCGCAGCGGATGCAGGGAGCTCTCTCGTACAACATGCCGAAATAGCGAAGCTAGCGGCTCCGGCGAGGTAACTCGGACCATTCTCCGAAATGACCTGGAGGTTTACTTTGAGAAAGAGCTGGAAGCCGGGTAAAATCGTGCATCACCGTTGTACTCTATACCACAGGAGATGTTTGAGATATGTTGCTGTGATGTCTCCATAGGACAAGCCCTCAACTATATACTCAACGCCTGTAAATTATGTTGTCACTCAGGGGACACAGAAAGAGAGAACTGCTCTCTACTCAAAGGAATTAACATCCAAACGCATGGATGATGCACTCCCCATGGATTCGTCAAGGCCTAAGCAATGATCGACAAAGATGTGCTCTAAATGATGTTGGTGGCTATGGACAAGACGTAACCGGCGCCCGCTGCAAGACGGCAGTCGAGCAAGGTTAAAACCCCTTTTTACTTGGTCCTATTTTCTGCTTTCATTCATTTTCTGCTGGATTCTCCGAGAAGGATGGCCTTTGGCCTGAACAGATCGCTGTCGACCGGAGGTTTGTAAGTATTGCTTAAGGCTACCTTTAACATTGGCGACTGGCAATACAGTATCCACCGATTGAGCTTCCCTACCTCCCAAAGTTGATCCGCAGAACAATCTTCTCTCAGCGAATGGAAGTCTACCCCATGTTCCAGCAAGAGAAATGTTATCTGTTGCGAGAAAAGGGTACCCAGTTGCATTATAGATGAACCCTTGCCGGAAGTCGTCAATAAACGCCTAGTGCAGCTGGGGTGGTGGCGGGTAAATGTCTGTTCTGAGCGAACCCATTCCCCTAGATCTTAGCTAAAGGTACCCAGTAGGAGTTATTGGTTCTGCAGTATTGCGCTTGATACAACGTAGTTCCGTAAACTAATATGCTTGTATGGTTTGTTTCACCAATTCTACCCGGTTTGATATTTGGAAAAGATTTCTCCCTGGATTAGTGATACGAAGTTTCTACGCTCCCCTTGTTCAGTGAGAATTTGGGCCGCATGGCATGTGGGTTGACACGGTAGCTAAAATTATAAAAATAGATGTTCCGATTATTGTGATATCATTGACAAGCTTCAAGAACAGGCTGAGCCGATGAAAGAAACTGCAGCCACCTCGGATGAAGCGGCGCCTCAAAGCGCGAGAGGATCAAAGCAATATGATCGTAGGAAAGAGGTCCGGTGACGGATTCACTAAAGCTTTCGAACGACACTGCATCCCGCCCATTAGCCTGTAGTACTGATAAGTTATGCTAGGGTAGGTCGAAGCATCTTACAGGTAAGCAGCCTCGCCTGCGTCCAAATTGTTCCAAAATGCCTGAGCTGCAGATGAAGTACGGTAATGTCATGGTCGATATTGGAGCGGAGACTGCCCTCTAGCGCTGGCCCCGACTTCCTATGAAGATCGAAGAAGATAAGCGTCGTGAAAATGGTAAACGTGATTGCCGGGTCCACGGTGAGACAGAATGCACTATCCCACTGACCCGCTAGCGCGGCAATATCCTGACACATCTCGAGAACTCGCTGCCAGCTTGATAGCCAGTCGTCTGCTCCACGTTGGCTGCACTCCGCAACGGAAAGAAGCAGTTGCGCCATTCGCAGGAGATAGACGGTGATTAGCCTTGCATTGTGGTCCACGGGGGTCTCGTTTGAGAACGCATTGCGTCGCGGGTTGAGCCAGCCTGGTGGGAGGGCAAGACGAAGTGTAGTTAGCTGTCGTTCGACGTCGGCGACGTGCGCCAGAATCTCAGCTCCCCGTCGCAGCATGTGCATGCGGGTGACGAGGCCGGCCTGGCGCATGGTGGCAATCGTGATATTGTAAATGTTGTTTAGCAAGGTCTCAGGGTCTGATGTGATGGCGGGAAGGAGTTCGGATAAACCAGCCGAATTAGGTGGTAGGAGGATTCCCTGGGAGACACTATTTGTCTCACTGAGGCAGAAGAAGGTATTAATTACGGCATCATCAATTAGATATGGTGTTCCTGAGGCGATATTGGAGTATGTGTCAAGTCGGTAGATACGCCACCATAGCGCGCGCCATTCCTGGGTATCTTCCTCGCTAACTATGCTCCAGTCGGGGTAGAGCGCCCGGACTTGTTCAAGTCGATCCAGCCCGATACGATAGGCCATGCGCGTTACCCTACCGATACGAAGCCAGGACTGATGGCCCGGGAATTGATGGAACTCGTAGAGGGCCAGTATATACGCTTTACGGAACTGATCAAGGGATGGGGCGTCTCCGGTGAGGTTGTCTTCCAGCAGGCTCGAGCTGAGGAGTGAGTCAAGCCCTGCATCTAGATTTGATCCATCATCAGACACGGCAAAATGGGTAAGTTTTGCAGTAATGATGGCCATTGTTGTGATAAGGTCTTGGTTGCATAGCGAGCTCTGATAGCGGCGGAGAAACCGTTCTTTCGAGAAAATAGGATTCGCATCCTGCATAATATCAAAGAAACCCCCAATTCTGCAGTAGTACCAGAGCTATCAGTTTAGCTTTGGGTAATGAGAAAAGGTACCTACAGGTATTCCTCCTCCTGCGAGGAGAAATGCAAGTAACTGGAACACGAAGGGCTGCTGCTAGCGTGCTGCAGAAAAGCTCCACGGGTAGACTGTTCATGGGAGACAGGACCCGCGGGGTTGCGGAGGGGGCCTATTGGGGAAGTTCCTAAATCGGGCTCTTGAAGTGTGACGCTACGGTCTGGAAGTGCTTGACAATAAGCATTAGTTCTCAGCATCAACTAAAGGGAATGGTAAAGCTACCAGACGGAGTGCGGGACCCGGATCGGCGAGTGGTGTAATGTGAGCCACGAGGAGGGCCGGGCCTTCGCTTCACTAGTGTATAGGTGCATGTTGTTCCAAGGTCAAAGCAACGAGAGCAAGTCGGTCTCGCCAGGTTGCCTGCAGAAGTTTAGTAAGTGATTCTCTCAGATTGGTAGCCCTGGCGCACACTTGACCTTCTTCCTGCACTAAAGCTTAGTGAAAGCACTTGATGGAGTAGAGGGAGAGAGGGCGGGTTACCGGATGCACCTATCACAAACTCTCAGTGGCATTGCACTCGTCTCTAGACTAGGGGAGGATGGTCTAAGATGCTCCATGCGGTATGTTCGGAGTGCAGTTAGCGCTCATAGGAACGATGACACACTAGGAATGTGGAAAGACGATTGCCGAAGCAAAGCTTCAATTATGGCAGTTTTCGCAAAGTTCAATTACTCGACGTCACAAGTGATCAGCTTCAACAGTGGGGCCAAAGTTCTTCCGCGGACCAACTTTTGCTCTGCCATCCACCAATCATAGAATACCTCCAGTCACTAACTAAGTAGTTAACCAATAGATTCGTTTACATAATCCAGCTTGAGGAGTTCTACAAAGAGGTTAGTAAGTAGTCGAGTTGCACCCGCCAGAGACGTATGGCCTACCAGCAGCCGCAACGGCAAAATCATGACAAAGCATACACTCGGACCTACATCATTCCCCGAGTCTGGAGCTGATGGCCTGGAGTACACTGACGAAGAATGTTAATCACGAGGACACTCATCCAGTAGGCGGCATTTCTGTGCATCATCATCTCCCCTCACCCAACACGTCCTTCTGATCATAACATGCCCTGCATATCTGCAACTAGTGTAGTGCCGTTTCGTAACGGAAATGCAAAAGTCCATGAGGTAGTAGGCCACTACGTGCGGCTTGCGCTACGGTCAAAGTACGCCGGCAAGGGTCAGGAAGCTGTTCAAGAACGATAAAGCGCGACATGAAGGAATTGCCCGAATAGTGGCAGTGGAAATTTAGCAGCAGCTTATGCCTCAGTTTCTCGGGAGAGTGCGCTAGTATGTGCTGAATATGAATGATCGACTGACCGTTTGTGAGAGAAAACCTGTCCCACTCCGGCCATACTAGTCCTCCTTCTTGGCCTGATAACTCATAGGATATATCCAACTAATCTTGCCTTTCATCCGCTCCTCCCTGGTCACATAATCCAACACTTGCCCCTTGCGAAACTCCGGCGCCATAACAAACCTCATGAATAAGTTCTCAACCACGTTCAGCGCTAGCAGGTACCACGAAAGCAGATAGTACCAGACATTATGCCACGCATGCAACCGCGTCTCAAGTCCAGACTTCAGAACATCTCCCTCAAGCGAGCACACAGAGCTCATTCGGACAGCCTGGTATTTCTCAAAGAGCCCTGTAAGAGCCTCAGTATCGGGACCCATACGATCAGGCGCTGCCTGAAGAGCCTTCCGGAGGCTATTGCACAGCACCACCACATCCTGAATCCCGTGGTTAAACCCCAGTCCCAGATGCGTGGTCATCTTGTGGCACGCATCACCAACAAGTACAATGCGCCCGAAGCTCCAGTGTTTGGCAATCCCCTCATCCAGATTTGTCAGACCAGCCCCTAACATCCGCGGCCATACATCCTTAACCTTGACCGTCTTCGTCAGCGGGAATTCGGCAAACTCCGCCGCGAGAGCGTCTATCTCCTTCTCTGTATAATTCGTCCGGTCGCTTGTGGGCCTCGCTAGCCTCTTATACAGGAAGAACCAGCCACGCTCCGGCCCGCTGAAGTACATTATCGACTTCCCCTTCGACTGGGTATCGTACCCCTGACCAGCCGGCGAAGGTGAAGGGAACGACCCGTATATAAGCTGGTATGTCGCCGTGTATGGGTGTGGGGGGTCCCACGGTCGAGTCGAGTTCTCTTTCAGAGCAAGGTTGCGCATTACTTGGCGTGTCCTGCTGTAGACGCCGTCCGCGCCAATGACGATTGAGCCGTGAAAGACGCTGCCGTCGGCGCAGGTCGCGGTGACTCCATCTTGCGTTGTTGTAATGCTCGTCAGTTTTTTGTCCGTTAGAATCTTTTCCTTAGCCGGTTTCGGGAGGCCGTTGTACATAATTTCAATCAACTCGGCGCGGTGGAATGCGACTGGGCCATGCCCGTGACTAGCAGACGAGGTAGATATATCAGCCGCAGCCTCCCGAGAAGGAAAAGCTCGTGGAGCAGCCAAGAAAATCATGGTGCGTCTTTGTAAAGAAAACTCACTTCTCACGTATCAGCCTATACCGATTCCCCTCGCTGAAGACGTGACCATCGGCTGTAAAAGACAGATGATGCTTCAATTCCGCGCCGCGTGGTAACAACTCGTCTAGGATACCAAACTGATGCAGCACTCGGAGGGTATGAGGGTGGACGATGAGACTAGCGCCCCTATCTTCGAAGATGGCGGGTCGGCGCTCAAGGACGACAAAGTCGATATCGGCCAGATGAAGGGCGTGCGCGGCTGCAAGCCCTATCGGGCCTCCGCCTACGATTATGGCTTTGAATGGAGAGTTTGAGCTGCTCATTTTGGTGCTTGGATTTGCTGATCGACTGGAATCAGTGTTGGGGGGTATGTTCTTTAGTACTTTGCATGTTTACAATGGGGAGCCATACGATCGTCTTTGCGCCGAGGGATCACAGGGTGGCCGAGCTGAGGAGGGAATGTTTCAGGCCGTTTCGAAGGCTGCCATTGAAATCATGCTAGTTCATCTGGTTACTCGTCAGTATTATCAGGGCGTTATAGCGGCCTGTGTAGAACATGCAGCCAATGGGACCTGGTTGTCTACTAAAGATCCTCCGAAAAAGTTGTGCCGAGATTAGCCCCAGCTGCATGTTACTCCACGGAAGGATCCCCAAACAGTTGAGATGATCCACTTCATACTTGCCTCGCAAAAAGGGCAGGTTCCACCTCTACTTCATGGATAAAAAAGATGGAGACGTCCTCCTTGCATTTCTAACGAACAACAACAATCCAACCCCATCATGATGTCCAAACGCGTCTCCGTGATAGTCATCGGCGGCTCCCACGCTGGCCTCGCAGTAAGCCAGAAACTGCTTCGACAAACTCCCAGAGCCGCCATAACCCTTATAAATCCCTCGGATGAATACTACTTCAACATCGCCGCTCCTCGTTTCCTTGTCAAGCCCGCGAGCCTGCCACCAACCAAATACCTATATTCCATCCCCGAGGCGTTCCGCGAACATCCACCGGGTTCTTTCACCTTCGTCAAGGGACTGGTGACCAAGATTGACTATTCGACCAAGTCAGTCGCAGTAGGCCTGTCTGCAGGCTCAACCGCGGGTACCGTTACTTCGTTTGAGTTTGACTACCTTGTGATTGCGTCTGGCAGTTCGACGCCTGCGACGCTAGGACAAGCGGGTCTGAGACTCCCCTTCAAGGCTACTGCGTTCGAGGATACGGGGAAGGCAATATTGGACGCGCAGGCGAAGCTGGAAGCCGCTCGGACCGTTCTAATCGGTGGTGGGGGGCCTCTTGGAGTCGAAATTGCCGGGGAACTGGCCGAAGCTGCAGGACCGAAAAAGATCACGCTGGTGTCTCGGACGAGTGTGTTGCTGGAGGGGGCGACTGAGCCTGTACAGAGAAGGGCGTTGTCGCTTCTACGGCTGAAAGATGTCGAAGTCTTGACAGCGACCACGGTTGTGGACGCGGTGTACGAAGCCCACAGTCAGACTTGGAAAGTCAAGCTATCTTCTGGGCAAACATATACTGCTGATGCATACATCGCTACTACGGGCACCATTCCGAATAATGAGTATATTCCAAAGAGCTGTCTCAATTCCCAAGGCTGGGTAAACGTCGATGAACACCTCAGAGTCGTGGAAGACGGCGTAAGCCGCAGTGACACCTACGCTGTCGGTGACATAACTTGCCATCCATATCGACTGCTATCGAGAGTCTCTGTTCAGGGAGAGACGGTAGCATCAAATATCGCGTCGGCTATTGAGGGAAGGTCCCGGCTCGCTACATATTCGGCAGAAGCGCAAAAGAAGATGATGGTTGTTCCAGTGGGGCAGTCGACGGGGACAGGACAACTGGGGGGTTGGACGCTTTTTGGATGCATTGTTTGGTTCTTCAAGGGGAAAGACTTTTTGACTTATGAGGCACCCAAATTCTTGCGAGGTCAGGTGCGGTGATTGTTAGATAATTGTTTCAATGCTTCCAATGGTGTTATATTGTGCTCATTATTTACATATTATTGTCTACTTACATTTCCGACGGTCTTACACTACTTCGCCTTGTTATCCCCAAAAATCCCTGGGCAACTCAGGCCCCCTAACAGACAATGGCCCAACCGGCTCTCTGCGCGTCGCATTGTCGCAATTCACCACATCCCCATCGGCATAATGCTCGATCTATCGTACAAGTAATCGAAAATCTGACTGCCTAGGATATGCCTTCCAACACCCCAAACGCTCTTCCACCCCCTTTTAGCCAGATATTGGTGGCCCATTAACTGTGTCAAAGTCAGCCACCTCAAACGAGGTATGATGGACGTACGTCTTGCCCACTGTTGGCGACGCCCGCTGCAGGAAGAATGTATGGTGGTCTGTATACCCCTCGCCCTGATCAAGGTGCATGAAAGTCAGGGCATCCATCTGCGGGAACTGCGGGAGGTACAGGATATCCGAGTGCACAAAATTAAAGTTACTGGTGTATAATTCCAGCTCCGTCTCAAACCCCTTACACACGTATCCGTAATGCCCAAGCTTATGCACCAGTGCCTGTCAATCGCGATACCTCTGGAACTGCCCCTTCCGCAGTTTCTCAAATGGTGTATTGAAGGGATCCTGCGAATCGTGTGTCGCTGTCGGGGGCGTCTTCGCCTCAACCTCCCGCTCCCTCTGGCCATACACAACATGAAAAAACGTCCCATCTGGCCTTTCGAAGGTGACCATCTCCCCGCCCCCGGGTGCGTCGTCCAGTGTCTTGCGAACTGCCCCGGGAATCGCGACAACTTTGGCGTAATTATCCTCGTCCTTAAAAATGCGTCTCGACTAGGCCTGTGATCGGGGCATTGGTAGAAGCCTATCCAACGTACGAGGACCTGGGGTACGGCCAAAAGGCGACGACGGCCACTATAGCCAAGGTCAGCTGTCGCTTCACTTCTCCTGACATTGGATAACGCGGCTTAGTGGGCACTGTATAGCTCCTCCCACCGCCGCTGCAAACAAATACCTCGATTTACTGCGTCGGGCTCAATTACAGGAGCCATGCGAAAGAAGCAAATGTACATCACTCGATACATGACAGTCTAGAAACATAACATCTAATGCATAGCAGCTCAATATTCCCGCAAACCCACCCATTGGGTGCATATGACCTAGGGGCTCCTAGAACTGATAAGCTTATCTAACCTGATCTAGGCCTATATTGGGGAGATACTTTTATATATATAGATAGAGAATAGTTTTATTTATCTATATATTTAATAGAATATTAGATGTAGCAAGAAAATTTAGTTATGGTGGATTTCATATTTTAGATAAGAATGGTTAGGATAGTAATGGCAAGATATACATATCTCTGCGCCACTTTTCATCTTAACCTTGGGGAGTATCACTACTCCCCAATACAAGGCTAATTTACCTTATATAATAGGTAATGTATAATATTTATAGAGGAATTTATTATATTATTAAATAAAATATATAGATTTTCTAGTGGTGTGGCTAGAATACTAGAAAAATAGGTAGTAATCTAAATTCTAGAGGTCACGGAACTAAATAGTATGGATATATCTATTATCCACAACCCAACCCACATGGATATGAGGGTGGGTTAGATAGGTAGTTGATTAACCCATAATCCACATGGGTTGGATGGAGCCCCTTGCAGATGCATCCAAACCCAATCCACGACCAGTCTGTTCACAGGTTCTCATATTCTTGGTGTAATTGCAGATCCCATGCGCACTTGGCTAACGGGTCACGGAGTAGATCCCGAGAGATCCCGAGTTCAAGAGTACAGCCCTAATATTACCCCTCACTATCGGCACCGGCTTGGTGCGGGGACCTCGTAGTTGTGTCAACGTCCGAAATAACCCCACTTTGCTGTCATATTTATCCCACTGCGTACGTCCCTCGCTCCTGACACTTTTTGCAGGGATTGACCCGTAACCGATCTGAAGAAGAGACCTCATCAATCATTGCGACATGCTCTCTACCCGCGGGGAATCATATGCCAAGGCCGGCTTGGCTAATGGGTATCTCGGCCCTCCCAAGACCCCCTTCGACAAAGACACCAAGCAGGGTGTTGTGTCTTTCGGCAATGCAGAGAATGTACCCAGCCATCGAATCCTTACTCCTAGTTCTAAACAAGGACATGTATATATTGACTGATGAGGCGCTAGTTCCTGATGCACGACGTATTGCTTGAATATATCCGCAAGAAGGTGAAGACTCGAACTACCCACTACAGAAAACAGATCGGCTAAGGCAAGTGTAAATAACAGGTAGCATCAGACCTCGACCACACATGTCTCACCTACCATGAAGGCCCTTTTGGCCCAAGACGTCTCCGAACAGCTATGGCGAATCACATTACTACGTACTTCCACCCCGCCTCGCCGATCTCACCTGATCATCTCGTTTTCACAAATGGCGTGACGAGCCTAAACGCGCTCTGTGCCCTCACTCTAACCGACCCCGGTGACGGGATTCTCCTGGGTCAACCCATCTACGGCTCCTTCAACGGAGATCTCCGCGTCCCCTCCGGCTGCCAACTGATCTACACCCCCTTCCACGGGGACGACCCGTTCAGCCCCGATGCCGTAACTCGGTACGAGGAAACCTTCCTGCAAGCGCGAGAGAAAACTGGAGTAACAATCCGGGCCCTCCTGATCTGCAACCCGCACAATCCGCTCGGCAGATGCTACCCGCGCGAAACCTTGGAGGCGCTACTGCGATTCTGCCAGAAGTACCAGATCCATCTTATCAGCGACGAAATCTATGCACTGTCGGTGTACGGAGAAGATGATTCCACCAAAGGCTTTGTTTCTGTCCTGTCGATTGACCCCAGCGCCCTCGGGGTGGATCCTTCTTTGATCCATGTGCTGTACGGGACGGCGAAGGATTTCGCGGCGTCGGGGTTGCGGCTGGGATGTTTTATCAGCCGGAATCAGAGGTTCTTACAGGCGGTTTTATCGATGAGGTAAGTGGACACATTTGGACTGACTATTCATTCTCGTTATATGGAAACGCTCTTACTGGGCAATCTAGTCGATTCCATTGGCCTTCGAATATATCCTGCAGTATTGCCACTGCCGTTCTCGAGGATCGAGATTTTGTGGAGAGCTTTCTTCAGAAAAGCCGTCGATTACTTCGTTCGCAGCGAGATCTGGCGGCACGAGCCTTGGAGGAGGCGGGGATTCCTTATGCGCAAGGCGGGTAGGTATTCTCCAGCGCCCCTGTTGCAGTTTCAGAAGACGTAAATTGTATGAAACTAATGTCTGAAGCATCGCGGGCTTTTTCCTCTGGATTGACTTATCGAAATGCTTGGATAAGGCGATTGTCGCTAGTCAAGGCGGGTGGGCTGCAGAGTTGGATCTGTCGCGCCGGCTGAAAGAGATTGGGGTGGAGATGTCGACGGGGTACGCATATCATAATGAGGTGCCAGGCTGGTTCCGCGTCATCTTCTCGCTTGAGGAGGAGAGCCTGAAGGAGGGTTTGTCAAGGTAGGTTGCGCTTGATTGCACGTTTGTATGGTGGGTGGTTAGGTACTAAACAAGGTGTTCGCAGGATCATAAAGCTCTATCACAGCTCGCAGGAATCGTCTTAAAATTTCGATAATTTCTGGTTGGCTACTGGGTTTAGCCATTCCCATTCCCTGCTGTGTATCTGTCGGTGTCATGCTTTAGCACATGCCCCAGGCATGTTTCAGTTCTTCCCATGGCTATCCTTAACAATCTGCCACACTCTGTGTTACCATGCCCTTTTGCGTAAGCGTTCATGAACATCGAGTAAGGAAAGTATTCTTCTTTGCAGCAGATACAAGCCTCCTTGATCGCATAACCAGCACATACAACCATAGGGTGTGTAGAACAGGGCTTCCTGTCCGCTCAGCTGTACTTAAGCCAGTATTATTAACGCAGCCAGAAGTTATGTGTGCCCTTAAGGACTTGCTGCTTTACAGATGAGAGCTGCTAAACCATGGGGTAAGTATGGTGTTGGCTTTAACCAGTCACGTATAGCCAAGTATTTAAGTAACTAAACTATATTCTGAATACTATTTTTTAATTCTTAGCTTTTATAATAATGTTACATCTGAACAGCCAGGTGGAAGGCACATTGCTATGTTTATTTTGTATATTGTTGTCAATGAAAGTATAACTTGCGAATGTTCATAATTACTACGGCGGCATCAAATAATAGAGAGATCCACATTCTCTTGTAAAGGATCGGTAGCTGTGCCTTGCATCTTTGCTGTAAACGGCTCACGCGAGTATCCCTAGTTTGGACAGGATATTGGTAGCCAGCTACGCAGGTATCGGCCAAAAAGCAGAGCCACAGGATCACAGGCCAAGATCTCCGGCGCGTCTTTTAATGCATTATGCAGATTCTCACGGCCATACTCCACCATATTTTCGTACACCTCCCATCGTGTCCGCTCACCCAGAACTTTCTCCTTCAGCATCGGAACAAGAGGGTATAGAGGATCATTTGGCCTCAGCGAGAGAGATTGCACCCACTCGGCGTACGTGACCCCATGCATTGGGTATGGACATATGCTTTTCAACAGGTTGAAGCTTGTACACATGTCGATCGCATGCTTTTTGTCCGGGTGCACCAGATTGTAAGCATGTCCTAGGTTGTCTTTCGACTTGGATATGTGCAAAATAGCGCCCACAATGTAATCCACGGGGATGAATTCCTTCCGCTGATTTGGAAGGAGAGGGTAACATCCCATCTCCATACAGCTTGCGAACACACGGCCGACGAAGTCATCCGGGTTGCATACCCCTGTTTTGCTGTGACCGAGAACGAAGCCCGGACGGTAGATGGCAACTGGAAGTCCATTGTCAATGGCATTCCAGACAATTGCTTCTGCGACATATTGGCTTTGCGCATAACCCGTGTCGTAATGAAGTGCTGTCAAGTGTGAGGCGGGACGTTCATCCTCGTGCACGAACTTGGTACCAGTCACGAGACCTGTAGGGCCGTATACCGCGATGGTAGAGGTATAGTGAGTTGCTTTTAGACGCTTGTGGTTGGCAAATTTGAGAATGTTGCATGTACCGACGACATTGTCCATTCTATGGGACGAATAGGGGGCAACGTAGCTCACTTTAGCCCCCAGATGAAAGACTACGCTGGCCCACTCAGCATAGTAATCATAGTCCCTCCGATTTAATCCGAGGTTTGCTTCACCGAAACTGCCTGGTACGACGACAACTTTATCCAGATCTGAGTAGATTTGGTATTTACGAAGAATGTTCTCAAGGCGCAAACGCCCTGCGGCTTTATCGCTGGCGCGAACCAAACAAGCGACCATCTTCACCGTCGGCATTCGCAACAATTCTGCGAGAAAGAACGCGCCAACGAAGCCAGTAGCTCCTGTAAGGAAAATACGCCCCTCAGAAACGTCTTCCCAGTCGACGAGTGTGCCAGGCAGAGGCTCCAAGTGCTGCCCCAGTTGCGCGTCCTGCAACCATATCTCCTGTTCGGACTCGTTGGTAAGTTCCATACTTTTGTCTCGAATATTTTCCAATAGATTAGTAAGGCTCCTTAGTGTCTTATTTTCGTAAAGCATCGAGGCCCGCAGCGAGACTCCAAATGTACAGTTAATTTTAGAGAGCAAAGTTGCGGCCATCAATGAATTGGCTCCCATCGCCATGAAGTCATCGTTTGGTTCGAAGCCCTTAGTGGGAAGACTTAAAACTTCAATACAGAGGGACTTTAATTTGTCCTCCACGTTGCTAATATCCTTCCCAGCAGGTCGGCTTGCCATGCAGGAATCTTCAATTTTTGCAAGGTATCGACGCTCCAACTCCCCGCGGTCCGTTTTGCCACTGGTCTTCAGCGGCAATGAACCCATGAGCTCAATGCGAGGCACGATGAGATGGGAGTACCGCTCAACATATTCTTTGGTTATTGCGGCAACAGTGATGCAATGCGATA